TCTTAAAATGAAGCACATTAATCCGTTTAACAAGGGGTTTAGAGCCTAACTGGCATACATAAGCAGCGCATGAGTTTCAAGTTTGGGGAAGATAATTTTCACCATAAAAATGCACCTTTATAATAAAACCATTACATGCATAATCGCATTTGCGGTCATTTGGCGTTTTCCCGTTTTCCTGCCATGTCTGCATTGCTGCGCTTATAATGTGAAGAAATAGCCTAATAGTTTATCAACATTTTAAGCTAAACGTTCTGATCTGTTGCGTCAGCCACATTGCGTAAAAAATGTTTTTTTGATGCTAGTGGTTGTATTAATTTGGGATCTATTGCATTCCACAACTGTCCCAGACTATGTTTGGAATATTTCTTTCTCACACAGAATAGGCCGACTTTTGTACAATGGGGGATAGTAGATTGACATAGGCTAGTGCTTTTGCTGTTCGTCAGACCTACTCATCTTGTTGGCTGACGAAAAGTAAATGTGGACAGTTCTTCCAATATCTTCAATATGCACCTAGGGTGCATACGGCCACAAAGGGGATGCCGCTGTGAAAATCGAGGCATTATCAAGTGCTTGTCAAATTGTGAATGAGAGAATAATGAAGTGTGTACAGCCTGCGCAAAAAACAAAGCAGAACTCATTCCTTTCAAGCTACTTTTTTCAAATCATCATTAGAGTCGCATCACGCAGCCTTACAATGTATTAAAAATCAAAACATATAGCCCAACGTTTGTAGAACAACTAAAGTTACATTAATAACTCTAAATTAAGCATATAGGAGTACCTATTTCTTTGTTAACCGCTCAACAAAGAATAGTCGCATGTGCGCACTCCCTCAAATCGTTTGGAGAAAATGTTTATACTTTATTCAGATTTGTTCAATTGTATTCTTCATACTATGAAATAATATAAAATAATGCCACGGAATTCTAAGCAAATCTTGTCTGCTAAATTAACTAGTGTAGCATACAGCCATTTGGCATAGCCAGATCAGGACCTAACATAAGGACAACTCAGAGTATGCTATTCTGTTCTTCTGAAATAGACTACATTTTCTTCATATCATGCTTCTTTAGACCTGTCTAAAATAAATAATGGATTTATTGTGAAGGTGTAGGCTATATTACATGGATTTATTAGACTTTTTTAAATGTAAATGTTCCAAAGGTCTGCATCAGTGGCTTGTAGGCTATGTGTGGAAGCCAGGAGATGCTAAACGTGTTTATGTTAATTAACAGTCAATTACCGTGAGACCAACAGTTATTTGCTTGACAATCACTGGCTGACGAAATTTTGTGACCACCACAACCCTAGTCTCTTGTCCACTTTCCACTTTGACTCGGTCTCTCCAAATCACTTAGTCCCAGCTGGATTTCATGTAAGGATTTGCCAATATTATATTCATCCCTCCCATACAGGCAATATACTGCACCTAATATGACAGTAAGTAGGTAATATATAAACATATGGACCTGCACATTGACATCTAGGTTTTCTAACCAGATTCTAAACTGAGCATCATCAGGGCTTGATTTATAGTACACAGCCCACTGTGACAGCCATGCTGGCATCAAGAGCACACAGAAGCATTCCCCAATCCATTTCACAGCAGATAGCACACTGTCCACTGCCCGCACAGTAATATATTATTTTATAGTCTCCTCAAGATACAAAACACAAGGCTACATGACATTAGAGAGACAAAACCAAATTGGTATTGGCATGCATCTGTGGCAGCTAGCCTATAAGCTCCTGACCTGCAAGCAACCTCTCACTAATGATGAGAACTAAATAATTAACATGTCCATCATGTGACACCAGACCAGACAAATAAAAATAACAACAAAAACCCTCCCTCCCACTCCCTACGATATCCAGTTCCCCAATTTTCTTGGTATTTCCTTGGTAAAGTAGGCCCTATGTCAAATTCATAAGGGGATTTGAAGAAGAATCTATGCATGAATAATCTATAATCCTTGATGAAAACATCAGAGGAGAAGCCTATCTGAGAGTGGGCATACAACACAAAATACACATAAGAGCAGCATTTCCTAAAATCAATGCAATAATATTATAATGAAGACTATTTTTTAAATGTTTATTATGCAAATACAAACATTTTGTACAGAAAGGTATTAAGTCATTATATCTGTCTCTAATCACCAATTGTGGATACTAGGGTTGCTTGAGAAGCAAATATTTTCCTGTTTCGAATGCTGTACATCCACTGCTAATCAATCAGAGGACCACTTTGTTCAATAGAGCAGACACTATAGACTAGTGCTGAGCGATTAGTCCTTTTTGAGGTCGGTTTGGTTTCGGTTCGATTAAAAAATAATCACGGTTTTCGATGTTTCTTTTTTTATGTGGGTTGAATGCTGTAACAACACAGAATAAAACAATTAATACAAGTCCCATGACGGTAGTGACTGCCCATTAATGCTTATCACTTATTAACCATAATTTATTCACATTACTTTACTTTAATAAAATATTTATTTGATGACTTTATTATTTAATTCCAAGTCATCTCATCTCTGTAGAGCTGCTAACTATGCTGTCTGACAAAATCACTATTTTAGTCGTTTTTCAAAGTAAATAAGGCATGCTTTTATGACTGCTGAATACCAACTATCAATCCCTTAGCTAATGTATTTCAGGTAGAGATACCTCGTGAAGCAACTGCTCTCGAGTCTCTATCCCTCTCAATCGCGCATTCTTCTCTCTTTTACGTAGCAGGCATAAAAGAAACACAGACCGGACAAGTATGTGTGCAATGGATTATGGACATTGTAGCTAATTACCATGTTTTCTGCGCTAAACTATGTATAATATTGGCTTGTTGGAAACTTCAACTCCCTACTAAATCGCACAGTTCGGGCTTGATCTGATTTATCTCTAGAGAAACTGCACAATGTGCACATTGAGTTCACAGAAATAAACAGAACTCAATGGAATTCAAATAATTGAACCGATGTCGGTCAATTAGTTATTTAAAAAACGAAAAATAACTGAAATGTCAGTTAATTGCTCAGCACTACTGTAGACTTAAGTCCTTGCCATCTGAAGGTAACAGCATGTGTGAGATTTGCTAACATGGTCTCTAGAGTTAGAATTGCCAAACATCAGCTAAATTGGTTCAAATGAAATACTTTAAAGACACAACTTATTGATCATTAAAGGTAAGGTGTAAAACACACTGATTAATTCAGCTGTGTCCCAGCATCAGGGCCAGAAGACCACTGACCCCCAATAAAGTCAGCTCATATCACCATCATGTGGTTATAAGTAGGTACTATATCTACAGCCTATTGTAGGCGATGGTAAGGTTGCTGCAGAATGCAGTTTTCTTTGTAGACATTATTGCTCACCTGGTGTTGAAGAGAGGGTCATTATAGATTAATAGAGGGTGCATCACTGTATGCTCCTGAGATAGAAACACACCCTGGTTGTGAGGAGCCATGATTCTCCCCTCCTGGTTTTGACAGCTCCTCAACACAGGCTGATCTGTAAGAGATAATATAATAATAACAATGAGTGAAAGCCTCCATGATATTCAAACTAATTCTACCACCAGGTGAAGAAATACTGGTGTGACAACACACTTCATTTTCCCCAGATGATGAATTAAATCATGTAACAAAATCAATATGCCATGTTATAATTCCTTTGTTTAGGCCTAAACACCAGAAAAAAAAAGAAAAAAAATCCACAATATGAACATGTAAACAAAAATACAAACAAAATTGAAGACAGTACAGAATGTTGATTACCCTATGTCTATAGTTTTCTTCATTGAACTAATTGGGACAATGGACTGTCTAGCACTGATGCAGGGGCCATATGTTACAACATATCTCACTGGACAGACAATAATCTCTTCACTGCTGTGGTTTAAAGTGGCTATTTTGTCCCAGTTCTTAGGAAAAAATGGTAGCTTTGAATGGGTTAAAACCTCCAGCCACTAACAATTGGCACATGGCACATGGCACATTTTCCAATGAAACTGACAGAAATTACATATTTTGTGATTTAAAGACTGTGAATTACGGTACCTTCAATATCCAGCAGAAAACAGGTTAGCAAGTGTGGACACACCTCCTCCAGAACAGAGCAGAATGCACAGAACGCCCCCGGGCCCTTCAAAGACAACTTGTCCAGAAATATCTCTGCCCTTTTCTTATTGGTGTCATAACCCAGGATGTCCTTGCATTCCCCCAGGGAGAACACCCTGTCATACACAAGGTATGGCAGCACCTTGTTGACATCCAGCTCCTTCAGTAACCGTTCCCTATGGTGCCTCAGGATTTTGGCAGCCCATGTTTTCTTCTTCTGGCCAGATGGTCTCCGGCTGCTCAACTGCTTCTTCACAAACCAATTCCGAGTATCACTGGCCAGCATTTTGAGGTTGGGTAAATATACTTTTTTTAACAACACCTCTCTCTTTGCAAAAGTCAATTGGATGGTAGCAGATATTCTACAAATGTGGGGGTAACCATGCCAGATATTTCCATAATGCTGACTCTGTTGCCACCGTACATAATACGTCTGGACTGGGAGGTCGACAGTCTGGACATGGACAAAAAATTAGCTTGGTGCTTATGTTGTTAAGAGGATTATCATTCTCTGTTTAGACCTTCACAAACTGCTCACCAAGGAAAATACAGCACTCAGAACATTTTACTATTTGGCTTTGTTATAACAGACCTAGTAGCCTAATCATAATATTTATATTTGTAATACTTGTCTATAAAATCCGTCTCTAGTCTCTATAATATCAGCCTGGGCATTGAATATTTGTTTATTGCCATGCTGGCATTGTTCTCTCCCTTTTCATGTCCCGACAGTGAGTTGAGGAGCTGTGATTGTGTTATAGGATTTATTTGGCATAGGCTTTAGCCAGACAGTAGCCTGCGAGTTAAACCGTCAATTTGACAACTGTTGTGGACATTATAATATCGAAGTGATTAGAGTACATACCTTTTTTTACCGCCAAGATGTCCATGCTGCGCTGCTCGCGCCCTCGGCTGCCACTATCAGCAGCAGCAGGCCCGCGACCGATCATCGACATCATCCTCACCTTGATGATTTGCTCAACATCCCAAGGTATTCTGTTCGACAAGGACAAACATTTTATAAACACTATTTATTTATTTTAAAAACGGAAACCTTTGAACAGTCATTGCAAAGTATGTTCACAAATAGAACTGCATGGTTCTCAAATAGCGTGAGAAGAGGAGTCTGTTGGTTTTGGGGTAAGTTAGCTAGCTAGCTCAAGGCTACTTAGCTAAACTTGAATAAAATAATGAATTTGGGATACCAGTTTCATAATTTATTGAGTGCACTAAATTTCCATTTCAGTATCGGAGGGTGGAGCTATTACAAGTTGGGAGACTGCAGACTACCTTTTCAGTGAGGATGCCACCTGTCCTGATACAGTCAGGTAGGCTAGCTAGCTAGCAGCTAGCTAACGTTAGCTATGCACACCTAGCTAGACAGCTCTCTAATCAAGTGTTTCCACTTCACGAATTGTGACTCCTAACCGTCCAGATTAATTCCTACTTATTTATACATTAAAATAGCCACTTCGGATGTTGCGTTTGTTTTCTTTGTTTTTACCTTTGGTCAGCCCAGCTGAGCATGATGTCTTTATTTCCTTGTTCACTGATTTTCCTTTGTAAAACGTGGCCTTTTTGTCCTGATTCCTGCTGTGTCACTGTCATAGGCCCGCCTCTAGGGGGCATGGTTTCTTCGTGAGCAGTGCATCCCAGGAAATGTAAATCGAAATGTAGACGCATTGACATACATTTGTTTATTTATTTCAGGATATTTGAGAGTGGGGACTATGCTGAGAACAGGCTGACAGTTTTTCACAGCTTCTATCTAGCTGCTTGTGAGAAATGCCACAGTGTCAAGTCGGTGTGCATCGGTCATTATGTGCTGCCTCCAGTCTCTGTCCAGGAGGGTAAGTAGATCATATAATCAGCTTTCCTTCCCTTGTATTTTGCATGACTGTCATAATGCAAAAAATTTTCCCATAATAATATTCTCCATCACACTGAAAAATATGCACACAAAATATGTAAATCATTTACCTTTTCAGTGGTGAAAGCAGTGGTTGGGAGATTCATTTGGGAGCAGGAGGATAATGCAAAGGCTGTTGAAACAGAGGTAAAAAAATGCTCTTCTTCATCTTAGTTTCAATTTAGTGAAAATCATAATTTGTTCACTTTAAGCACAATACATTTGTATATGTATTGTATTTCTATTGTAAGGATTCAGATGACATATTGGCATTGGGCAATAGGCAGAAGGAAGAGGACTGCAGTGGAGATTACTGTGATCACACAGACATCAATAGTTGGTATGTACTGCATCTTGTATGGATCTCCTGATCAGCTACTAATTTTGAGGGGTTCAGAACAATTACCTACAGTACCAGTCAAAAGTTTGGACACACCTACTCATTCAAGGTTTTTTCTTAATTTTTACTATTTTCTACATTGTAGGATAATAGTGAAGACATCAAAACTATGAAATAACACATATGGAATCATGTAGTAACCAAAAAAGTGTTAAAGAAATCAAAATATATTTTCTACTTGAGATTCTTCAAATAGCCACCCTTTGCCTTGATGACAGCTTTGCACACTCTTGGCATTCTCTCAACCAGCTTCACCTGGCATGCTTTTCCAACAGTCTTGAAGGAGTTCCCACATATGCTGAGCACTTGTTGGCTGCTTTTCCTTCCCTCTGCGGTCCGACTCATCCCAAACCATCTCAATTGGGTTGAGGTCGGGGGATTGTGGAGGCCAGTTCATCTGATGCAGCACCATCACTCTCCCTCTTGGTAAAATAGCCCTTACACAGCCTGGGGGTGTGTTGGGTGATTATCCTGTTGAAAAACAAATGATAGTCCCACTAAGCCCAAACCAGATGGGATGGCGTATCGCTGCAGAATGCTGTGGTAGCCATGCTGGTTAAGTGTGCCTTGAATTCTAAATAAATCACAGACAGTGTCACCAGCAAAGCACCCCCACACCATAACACCTCCTCCAACATGCTTTATGGTGGAAAATACACATACGGAGATCATCTGTTCACCCACACCACGTCTCACAAAGACACAGCAGTTGGAACCAAAAATCTCCAATTTGGATTCCAGACCAAAGGACACATTTCCACCGGTCTAATGTCCATTGCTCGTGTTTCTTGGCCCAAGCAAGTCTCTTCTTATTATTGGTGTCCTTTAGTAGTGGTTTCTTTGCAGCAATTCGACCATGAAGGCCTGATTCACACAGTCTCCTCTGAACAGTTGAGGTTGAGATGTGTCTGTTACTTGAACTCTGTGAAGCATTTATTTGGGCTGCAATTTCTGAGGCTGGTAACTCTAATGAACTTATCCTCTGCAGCAGAGGTAACTCTGGGTCTTCCATTCCTGTGGCGGTCCTCATGAGAGCCAGTTTCATCATAGAACTTGATGGTTTTTGCGACTGCACTTGAAACTTTCAAAGTTCTTGAAATGTTCCGTATTGACTGACCTTCATGTCTTAAAGTAATGATGGACTGTCGTTTCTCTTTGCTTATTTGAGCTGTTCTTGCCATAATATGGACTTGGTCTTTTACTAAATAGGGCTATCTTCTGTAAACCACCCCTACCTTGTCACAACACAACTGATTGGCTCAAACTCATTAAGAAGGAAAGAAATTCCACAAATTAACTTTTAAATCAGGCACACCTGTTAATTTAAATGCATTCCAGGTGACTACCTCATGAAGCTGGTTGAGAGAATGCCAAGCGTGTGCAAAGCTGTCATCAAGGCAAAGGGTAGCATTTGAAGTATCTCAAATATAAAATATATTTTGATTTGTTTAACAAGTTTTTGGTAATTACATGATTCCATATGTGTTTTTTCATAGTTTTGATGTCTTCACTATTATTCTACAATGTAAAACATTTTTTAAAGAAAGAAAAACCCTTGAATGAGTATGTGTGTCCAAACTTTTGACTGGTAGTGTATGTACACTGAGTATACCAAACATTAGGAACGCCTTCTTAATATTGAGTTGCACAGAACAGCCTCAATTCATCGGGCCATGGACTCTACAAGGTGTCGAAAGCATTCCACAGGGATGCTGGCCCATGTTGACTCCAATGCATCCCACAGTTGTGTCAAGTTGGCTGGATATCCTTTAAGTGGTGGACCATTCTTGATACACACAGGAAACTGTTGAGTGTGAAAAACCCAGCAGCATTGCAGTTCTTGACACAAACCGGTGTGCCTGGCACCTACTAACATACCCCGTTCAAAGGCACTTAAATATTTTGTCTTGCCCATTCACCCTCTGAATGGCACACATACACAATCTATGTCTCAATTGTCTCAAGGCTTAAAAATCCTTCTTAACCCCTTCATCTACACTGATTGAAGTGGAATTAACAAGTGACATCAATAAGGGATCATAGCTTACACCTGGATTCACCTAGTCAGTCTATGTCATGGAAAGAGCCTTAATGTCCTTAATGTTTTGTACACAAAGTGTATAAATCATTGGTCCAGAACAGAGCATGCTTTTTTACATTTCTACCACTAGGGGTCATATTTACCTATGCAATGGTTACAGCTGTTCAGTATAATGTGCTCACACTAAACAAGTAAACTATTTTTATGAAATAGCCATGAGGTACCCTTTCTGGATACTCCGAATACTCCCGAAAGAGAGGCGGCTCTGTGTTGTGAAGTACAACATTACCCAGTTAATAACATGGTTACAGGTAAAACAAATAATTATCACCCAGCATTCTTACAACTATCTTTATCATGTGCTTTCCATACGAATGTATTATCAATGATAGAAATACACCCTTTCTAGAATAATGAAAATATTTATAATGTAACAATGTTTATTCTATTTGAAGGCTATGTCAGTATTGATGAACTGAGGACTTACTCAGGAGGACTTCAAGACTTCCTACCAGGCCATTGTGGTTCTTCAGTCTCTAAAAAAAGGCGCTCTACAGTAGATATTGCTTAATGTCATATTACAAGGATACAGATCACAGGGATAATTAAGAGTAACAGTTTTAATCCGAGAACAACAAATACAGTATGGGATGTTAAATGGCAGATTTAGCAGGATCGCTAGACAGTGTAGTCCCCTTTTCACTATTCACCATTGTTTAAGTTGTTTAATTATTTTAAAAAATGTTATTGAAATAAAAAGAGGTTACTTACATATATTTTGATTGACACAGACATGATGAGATAAGTTGCCTCAATGCTGCATTTTGATATACAGTGTGTTATGAATCAGAAATATCTGCCTCGGCTTTATTCACTTTTCCCAGCAAAATGAAGTTCAAACCCTGCATGGAGCATAAAAAAACTAAACTAAATGGTTGCCAACACATACATATACCACACCTGAACCAGTCTAGTTTGCAGTCAATACATAATCAACACATTGAAGAATAAACACTAGTTCCATACTTGAATCAGTAGCTAATTTGAACCGGCCTCTTGCTTGTTACCTTCCAATGATGTGGTTTGTGTCTGAGTGGGTTTTCTCTGAGTTCAAGCTTAGTCATTCCAGTAAATCCAAGGATCAGGTCATTTTCCAGTGACGTAATGTCATTGAACTTCATACTCATGACTTGAAGACTTGTCATATCTGTAGAAAATATTTAATTGATTATGCATTTAGGCTAATAGTACAAAAATAATATTGCCTTTGCTTTTAGCAACTTCTCTCGTTGCAGATATAGAGGAAAAAGACTCAATGATCCGTTGAATGCACATGAAATCACTGACCTGACAGTGATTTGGGCACATGCTCAAAACTGTTTCTGTCAAAGTCCAAGACTAGGTTATTGATTTCATCTGGAAGATCCTTAAATTCATTGCCTGCCAGGTTCAACCAATGTAGGGCTTGTAACTGTCCTAGGTCAGGAGGCAGTGCAGTGATAGTGTTATTGTTTAGACCAGATTTTTGTAACTTGTTAAGTTTTCCAATGGAGGAAGGCAGCATCATTAGACCACAGTAAGCAGCCCACAGCACCTGCAGCTCTGTCAGGTCTCCCAAGGCCTCTGGAAGAAATGGGATTACAATTGACTCCTAGGATTGTAAGGTTCCGTAAAGATCCAATGGCACTTCGCAGCATAGTTAGCTGGTTCCCATCAAGAACAAGTTCCTCAAGCTGTTCTAAATGCAGGATCTTCACAAGAAACAAGAGGAGACAGTTGCCATTCAAAAAAATGTAAAAAAAAAACTGCTTTTTTAGTTTGGTTAGTGTTGTTAATGAAGGTACAACAAGACTTCGGTGACTAATATTTAACTTTTTCAAATGTTTGTAAGCACATTCAACAACCATATCGTTGATGTTCATTATTTCCTAGCGTTATTTGTAACTACGAAAAAATAAAATACTCTATGTACAAAGCAGACGGACAGACGATTGAGTCTTATTCAGACCACTGATTCCGACATGTTTAATATTTGTCTCCATAGAAACATTTCCTGTGTGTCTTCAACCTCATTCCCGCCCCCGGAAACAAGACCTGTGATTGGTCCATGTGCCACGCACTATAATCATGTGACTAATCAGATCGCTCTGGGTTAGCTCAAATGCGACGCAGCAGGTGAGATAGGAACAACAGAAACATTGTAGCAGTCATTTCATTGCCTTACACCATTATCAACCTATAAATCATTAATAAAGATAAAGATAGCAATACACTTTTCGTATAATTTTAGCTCTCTTTTAGGAATAGCTCAATTCGACCCTCTCTTTGCTATAATGGCATGTTCTCTCTAACGCCACCGTAAGCCAATCACATGTTTTGTTTTGTCGACTGCCCACCAAGCAGCAGGAAGATGCACTTTGAGCCCTGCACAGGCCAAAAAAGCATTTTACAAAATTTCTTATTTTATTCACACTGTAGTTGTCTTTGAGTGAATACAACATGGAAAAAGAAAACCTATCCGTGGTGTTGCATTCCCAGGGCGACCTCAGACTGGTAATAAAGTAGTGTCTAAACTGTGTCATGATGATGTAAGCAGATCGAGATTTCATGAAAACTGCATATTTTGGTCAATATCAGAAAGTCCATCTGCTCATGTTCGTCCAGGAACTAGCCATTTCAATTACCATTTATAATATTAACAATTTTGACTTTTACTTTTGTTACAGATGGCAAAAAAGTCAAAATGTTGAATATAAGTGTTAATTTAAATGGCAGGTTGCGGGACGCTCCTCATGGCCATGGGGAATGCTTGTATGAATGGATAAATAATTACGATTGATTATCTGAATGGTCAGGCTAATTGTGATGATTGATTTCTTACAGGAACAACGACCCATCCCTGAACCAGGTCCAAATGGTATAAGAAAAATGTAGTATCCAGACAGCTTGTAAAGTATATTTCTGCATTTGATTTTCAATTGTGTAGAAACTGTGTACAATTTGTTTGTCCTATGGAGTAATTGCTTGTCTTTCCTTTATCCAGAGGTGTTGCTTCAGATGCATTCAGTTGGGATCTGTGGGTCAGATGTGCACTACTGGCAAAATGGACGCATAGGTGACTTTGTGGTAAAGAAGCCCATGGTGCTGGGGCATGAGGCCGCTGGTCGGGTGGTGAAGGTGGGCTCAGCAGTGAAAAACCTAAAAGAAGGTAAGAACTGTGCAAGCATGTGAGAAGGAAGTACTCACTTGTTTCAATGAGGGTATGTTGTTTTGCTTTTAATGCAGGTTAAAGTTAATCAGTTTGTAAAAAAACACTGATCAGATAATGCAACTTTGGATTGTCTGTCTGTCAATTATTCATATGTGTTGGATAATTAGGGGATAGAGTCGCTGTAGAGCCAGGTGTCCCTCGCGAGATGGATGAGTTCTTCAAATCAGGAAACTACAATCTTTCCCCCACCATCTTCTTCTGTGCCACACCCCCTGATGATGGGAATTTGTGCAGATTTTACAAACACAGCGCCAACTTCTGTTACAAGTGAGTTCATTATTTCTACTTTATCTACAAGGACAGGTAACGGTCAACATACTGCCAATGGGGAACACTGGGGGTAACATGACAAACCTACATTGCTTAAGTTCTCTCTGTTTATGTATATGAACAGACTGCCTGACAATGTGACATATGAGGAGGGGGCCCTGATTGAGCCCCTGTCTGTGGGTATTCATGCCTGCCGCAGAGCTGGAGTGACCCTGGGCAGCAGTGTACTTATCTGTGGGGCAGGTAGGTAAAACTCGGCTGTCATTCATTGATACTGTTATTTACTGTTACTGCAGCTTGGACCAATGAAGTGTGACACAATTTTGCAGTTGCAGCTGTTCAGGTTTTATGTCCAGTCATTCAACTCCTACAAGATGTGATAAAATGAAATAAAATAAAATGTAACATTGCAGAATATACAGCCAATAAGAAGTATGGCGGTTATTACATTCCACTAACATGCCCATGCAAGTTTGGAAATTAAAGAATGTGGTTTAGTTACAAAAGTGAGAATCATGCTGACAGCATAACATCAGTGGGGAAACCAAGTGAACTTAAACACCTGTAGTAACAGACTTAATATTTAACACATCCACTCTGCTGGTAAGTGAATTAACACATGTAAATACCTAAACATTCATTCGTGAATGAAAGGGTTGGTTAAATAAAGATCAGCTCTTGCTTTTTAGTTAATGATAATGTATTTCCCTATATTTTCCATATAGGCCCTGCAATAGACTAGCGTCCTGTCCAGGGAGTGTACTTTTACATCAAGCTGCCTCAAGCTACTGAATCAGACGATAGGCTCCTGCCTTATGGACCCTTCTGGCTCAGACCAGGCTTACACACTATTTCCTATACTGACCCCTCATGTCATCACTTCTAGCCCTCATTCACACAGTTTCACGATGACCAGCTAAGTTGAAAAATATCTTGTAAGGTTACTAGCACAGCCTCATATCCCCATCGAGTGCATCGGCTTGGAGAGCAGTGTCCAAACTTCCAATTAACATGTGCACATTCAACCTAAGCATCGCTCTCATTTCTCTTTTCCCTATCACAGGACCAATTGGTCTGGTCTGTCTGCTGGTGGCCAAGGCTATGGGTGCCTCACAGGTGGTCATAACTGGTAAGGCACAGGGGGTAATAATACACTCTTTATGGGATCCATTTTGTTTCACTCAAATCAAAATTGTCTACCAGGGTCTTCCTTTTTTTTGAAGGGCTTCGAGGTGAAAAAGGTATAAATGTTGGTACATTAGTACTACTGTTTGATGGCACAGTATAGTTGGGACTGCCACAGTACTCTTTTTGTCCTTCTGTTTTCAGACCTGTCAGCAGATCGCCTGGTCATGGCCAAGGAGCTGGGAGCAGACTTCCCTCTGACTGTGAAGAGGGAGGATGGGCCTGAGGAGCTGGCTAAGAGAGTGCAGGGACTGCTGGGAGCACAGCCTCATATCACCATCGAGTGCACGGGTGTGGAGAGCAGTGTCCAAACTGCCATTTATGTAAGTACAGCCACAAGAGTGATATTAGAACCCATGGAAATGCTGTACTGTGAAATGTTGCAGTTTTCTTTTAGAAAAGAATATTAACTATTGGTTCCAAGACTTAAAAAGAACTGATGTTGGCACAAGATGGAGGGAATATTGGAGCACAACTATTGAAATTACAGTTAACGAAAATGTACGCTTAATCCAGTATAAACTAATGTATAGAATTTATTATACAAGAGACAAAATTCACATATTCTACAGCACAACAGTAGAATCATGTCTTAAGTGTAAAACTAATAATGACTCAATAATTTATGCTTTCTGGGAATGCTATAAAGTCCAGAAGTTATGGGCAAAGCTAGAAAGTTGGTTGTAAGAAGTATTAGAATGTAAACATACTTTTAATCCGTCTGTCTGCAAATTTCAAGACATGGCATATGGGGGTGTAGTGAGATACCCAATGGGCTGGACGATTCTCTTCTCATCTTGAAAAAATCGAATGATTTATTATTGAAATATTGAAATAGCATGGGCGACCAAGAAAAACAAATTAGTAAAATGTAAGGCCATGTGGCAAACAATAATGCAGGCACTAGGGATAGGGGTGTGAACATGCAGGTCTGGGAAGAGGAGATGCAGTTGTTATTTGTGTTCGTCTGTTAGTATTTGGTGTAAAATAAATAAATATATTCTTGCTGCCAGGCTACACGTCCTGGAGGAGTGGTGGTTCTAGTAGGGATGGGTGCAGCGATGACCACTGTCCCACTGCTCAATGCTGCTATCAGAGAGGTGGACATCAGAGGGGTCTTCCGCTACTGCAACACGTAAGTGAATCTCTTTCTCTCACATTAACTAGGTACAGAAAATAAGTTGTTGCCTTTTACACTGCCCTTCATCTCACACAACAGAGCCCTGAAGCCAGCGCAGGACAAAGGTCTTCAAATAAAATTGAATTTGTCGCATGCTTCGTAAACAAGAGGTGTAGACTAACAGTGAAATGCTTACTTATGGGCCCTTCCCAACAATGGGAGGTCTTCAGGAATATGGTCCCTAATGTTCCAACAATTGCAGCAAGTTGTGTTGATCTGTTGTCTTATAATTCAACTGTTAATGTGTTTTTGTCCTCTTATTCTAGCTGGCCAATGGCTATAGCGATGCTGGCCTCTAAGAAGGTGAACGTGGCGCCCCTGGTGACCCACCGGTTCCCCCTGGAGCAGGCTGTGCAGGCCTTCGAGACCACACGCCAGGGACAAGGGGTCAAGGTCATGCTCAAGTGCGACAAGACTGACCAGAACCCCTGAGAGGACTGGGAACACCAGGACCAATAAGAGCTAGTATAGACAACCACAGCGCTGTAGATCTAACAGTCGATTTTTCTGTTAGTTGTCTATGTTGCCCCATCTTAATCAGGTTACCTGTTGCCCAAACAGCAATTTTCACTCTTGAAATCAGATATTTGGAGACGCTATGCAACTAAGTATATGATTTGACAAAACGTGCTCACAGCAGCTTTCTCTTTCATCATGTGATTTCAAGTTGCTTTTGACTGTAATTACTTGATTACCATATGTTTATAAGATGATGCAAAACTGTTAAATAAAGCCTTTGAATCTTGTTATAAACCAGAAAGTATTGAAATATTGTAGTTGTTGTTTTTTGTCTAGTCAGTACCTAGCTGCTGCCACCAGGAGGAGTTAGAGATATTCACACACCGTACGCCAAGTCCAGTGTGATGCACATACTGTAATGCAGACAATCAATCTCCTGTCCATACAATAAATATTTAACAAATGGTTTATCTGAAAATGTTGACTGATAAAACCTAATGACACAATTCACAGTAAAACAATTATTCCAATGAGCCAGCAAAACAGAAATTGGGGATTATTTGAGATTTTATTGTTATGTTGCCATAATGACTTGATACTATCATGAGGCATGCACACAGATAAATGTTAATTTTTCAAATGTAATTTTTAGTAAAATGCATGTTAAAAGCATTACTCAGTCGTAAGGCTTCCTCAGTCACAGTGGGATTCATTGTTCATCTTTCTCTCAAGGCTGAAGCCCGACACAGCAGAAGGGGGGATGTTTGCAGTGACTAACCGTGACGCTTATGAACACAATACTAGACAAAGTTCTCTTTTTGTACAGACATTCTAATACTGCTTATGGCAATGGACACAGCTTTTACAACACAATACATTCACAATCGACTCAAATGAGTTTTGTTGGGGTGGAACACAAAAGATGAACATAGCACACATAGAAACGACCCTTTCAAGTTTCATACATTGCTTATTATTTTGAAAATCAAACCAATGTTAAGTTCAACAGTTTTGAATGAACTGTTATTAAAATGTGTGAGAGACAGTGCTGTCCAATAAATTGTGTTGACATATGGAAGTTAAAAAAAGACTTGCACACTAGTCAAAAACCTTTACCTCATCATGACTTGTTATCATGATGAGGTTGAACTTCTATAAAATGAAAAAGTTCAAATCTGAAGGGATATGGCGTTTGGTAACATACAACCTCTGCTGCTAGCATTTGCTTGATAAATATAAACAAAATTATATTACCCAAGTCACTCCCAAACACCCTTTTACTGTCCAGCTAAACTATATTAACAACAGGATTTCAATTGTCCTTTAGCAGTCCAGGGCTCTTTTCCCTGCTATCAAACCAGCAGGAAAAGTCAATAAATATGTACAAAGCAACCATGGTCCTTCCCCATTACCAAAATATGTATTTACACTACAAATAAATACAACAAAGAAAACTAAATGAAACAATATGCAGGTACAATATTACATTGATATGGATATAAAAAATACATTGTGATGCATTCCATGTAGTCTCACTGAACTGACATCCAAAAAACACAAACAACACAAATAAATAAGGTAAACACCTTCTGCCCAGATGACCCTCTTTAGTATTAACATCAGCAAAATATAGGGAGTGTCAGTTGAATGAATGTTAGCTAAAAAAAGATGAGATGAAAAAATGATAAATCACTCTGGCTCACTAGCCATCCTCAGACACTCATTAGTCTGCTAGTCTTGTCTTGTCCACCCAGAGCTCTCCAACTGGACTGTAAACAACCGCTGCTTACAGCTCCTCTGTGGAGGAGAATGGGATCTGTCCTTGGTTTAAATATACATAGGAGTCTCCTGTCCTGTTAAGAGTCTGAACATGGCCGCTGGCATTGTCTTCATGTGAATCTGGTTTAGGAAAAGACAGAAAACAAAAATTTAGCTAGGCACTTGCATCTATTGCTTGTTATTTTATCTGTCAATATCTTCATTGAAAATAATCAAGCTTAGAGGCACACACTTACAGTCTAATGATTTTATTGACTACCCTGGCCACCAGCTCTGCCCCCCCCCCCCCCCCCCCCCTAGATCCAAACTGTTACAGACCTATATCCACCCTGCCCTGTCTTTCGAAAGTTTTTGAAAGCCAAGTTAACAAACAGATCACCGACCATTTCGAATCCCACCGTACCTTCTCCGCTATGCAATCCGGTTTCTGAGCTGGTCATGGGTGCACCTCAGCCACGCTCAAGGTCCTAAACGATATTATAACCGCGATCGATATAAGACAGTACTGTGCAGCCGTCTTCATCGACCTGGCCAAGGCTTTCGACTCTGTCAACCACCGCATTCTTATTGGCAGACTAAATAGCCTTGGTTTCTCAAATGACTGCCTTGCCTGGTTCACCAACTACTTCTCAGATAGTGTTCAATGTGTCAAATCGGAGGGCCTGTTGTCTGGACCTATGGCAGTCTCTATGGGGGTGCCACAGGGTTCAATTCTCGGGCCGACTCTATTCTCCGTGTATATCAATGATGTCGCTCTTGCTGCTGGTGACTCTCAGATCCACCTCTATGCAGACGACACCATTTTGTATACATCTGACCCTTCATTAGACACTGTGTTAACAAACCTCCAAACGAGCTTCAATGCCATACAACACTCCTTCAGTAGCCTCCAACTGCTCTTAAACACTAGTAAAACTAAATGCATGCTCTTCAATCGAACGCTGCTGGCACCCGCCCACCCGACTAGAATCACTACTCTCGACGGACTGACCTAGAGTATGTGGACAACTACAAATACCTAGGTGTCTGGTTAGACTGTAAACTCTCCTTCCAGACTCACATTAAGAATCTCCAATCCAAAGTTAAATCTAGAATTGGCTTCCTATTTCGCAACAAAGCCTCCTTCACTCATGCTGCCAAACATGCCCTCGTAAAACTGACTATCCTACCGATCCTTGACTTCGGCGATGTCATTTACAAAATAGCCTCCAACACTCTACTCAGCAAATTGGATGTAGTCTATCACAGTGCCATTCGTTTTGTCACCAAAGCCCCATATACTACCCACCACTGTGACCTGTACGCTCTTGTTGGCTGGTCCTCACTACATATTCGTCGCCAAACCCACTGGCTCCAGGCCATCTATAAATCACTGCTAGGCAAATCCCCGCCTTATCTTAGCTCATTGGTCACCATAGCAACACCCACCCGTAGTATGCGCTCCAGCAGGTATACCTCACTGGTCATCCCCAAAGCCAACACCTCCTTTGGCCGCCATTCCTTCCAGTTCTCTGCTGCCAATGACTGGAACGAATTGCAAAAATCTCTGAAGCTGGAGACTCTTATCTCCCTCACTAACTTTAAGCATAAGTTGTCAGAGCACCTTACCGATCACTGCACCTGTACACAGCCCATCTGAAATTAGCCCACCCAACTACCTCATCCCCATATTGTTATTTATTTTGCTCATTTGCACCCCAGTATCTCTATTTGCACATCTATCATTCCAGTGTTAATACTAATTGTAATTATTTTGCACTATAGCCTATTTATTGCCTTACCTCCATAACTTGCTACATTTGCACACACTGTATATATATTTTCTGTTGTATTTTTGACTTTATGTTTTGTTTTACCCCATATGTAACTCTGTGTTGTTGTTTTTATCGCACTGCTTTGCTTTATCTTGGCCAGGTCGCAGTTGTAAATGAGAACTTGTTCTCAACTGGCTTACCTGGTTAATTAAAGGTTAAATAAAAAATAAATAAAGATGAATGCATCATGCTTATGTTCATTCCTCTTTCATACTATTTGATTCTGGTGTCCTCTGAGCTCCTTTATGAAATATATCTGTGTATCTGAACTGAACCTCACCTCGCCCACAGAGTTTGAGAGGGCTTGGACAATCTTCTCATGTGCTGTAGCCACCACGCTTTGGCCATTGATCTCAATAATGCGGTGGCCAACCCGGACACCCCCTCGCTCAGCAATACCCCCACGCATCAGGCTGCAGATCTGTGGGTGAAGATGACAAGTAGAAGGTGAATATTATCCTTAATGGCAGTCACTCACCCCCATGGGCAACAAGACAGGGGCAATTCTATAGGGGAATAAAGCAATGATGCAACGATGTTCCATTAAATCTACTGGAACAGTTGTATTGCTAAAATGTCAAGGATAGTTAATGGATTTGGTTGTGTGATCCTGGTAGGGAGAGACCAGGGTGAGATTTGAGCTCTATGAATGACATTGTAAGGTTAATCTGTATGCACTAGCAAGGAAAATGGCAGTTCACACCGAGCTGATAACCTAAGGCAATAAAGCTCCAAGCTTCAGCCTCAGTGCAATGATAGCCACAAGAGATAAAACAGTAATTGCATCTGGAAAAAAATTTAACAGGATTTTAAAGGGATATTGTCAGACTACATAAATATTGCTCTAAGGAGTTGACAATTTGTGTCAAAGAAGCAATGTGTTACAGAGGATAACTTGAATATGCAGACTTGAATAAAGTGGTATGACGAACACTAAAATACATGTGTGAGCAACATGTTTTTTTTAAATATCAAAGCATGTAAAGCTCATGATGCAATCACATACTGTACGCACAGACCTATAGGCTAACAGCTTGTCATATTATTTGATACAATATTATTTAACTCAGAATTGGTTTCTTTAGAGATATGACTGTACCAGCTGAAAGGAGATAAAGAAAAAAGCTTTTAATAATTTACAGTGCTGTCTTCTCCTATTCAACTCATGTCAGCTGAAATCCTCCTGAGGGAACTGAAGTTTCATTAGACAAAGACATTGATATAGTACAGAATCTCGTTTTTCAACCAGTCACAGCCTGTGTTATTCAACCTATGCATGAGAACACAGTATTCCAAAAACAGACAAAAGAAGAGTGGTCAAGGCCTTTTGCTGTTGAGTGATGACTTGAATGAAAACACTACTGCACTGTGTTCATAGTTTGACATTGCACACAGGGCTAAGTGGTGGTGCCTGATCTGATTGTACTTACAATCCCATTCTGGACACTGAAGCCCAGCTGGTACTTGAGGTCTGGCCTCTTGATGAGCACGGTTGGTGACAGGGGGACAGCTCACAATGTTCAGCTTCATCTGCAACTGGTTCTTCAGGCCCTGATGGACAAACACAGTGGTCAGACAGAGCAGAGGACATCCTGCAACCTCCACTGGGTTTAGTCAGTGGATTATTTTACATTATAATTATGATCAAATTACAGAATTCATGTAGTGTTACACAATTAATGTAATGTCACCATAATAACCACTAATTTATACCTGTACCCACACACATTGACTCGGTACCGGTACCCCCTGTGTATAGCCTCATTATTGTTATTTTATTGTGTAACTTATTTGTATTTGTATTTTTTTACTTTAGTTTATTTAGTAAATATTTTCTTAACTCTATTTTCTTAAAACTGCATTGTTGGTTAAGGGCTTGTAAGTAAGCATTTCACGGTAAGGTCTACACCTGTTGTATTCGGCGCATGTGACAAATACAATTTGATTTGATTTGATTGAATGACTCTTCCTAGAACTCTGGCCCTGTCCATGTACCTTGATGATTCCCTGACAGGTGGCGAGCGGCAGCCCTACCAGGCTGGTGTTGTTGATGGACATGATCTGGTCTCCGATGCTGAGCTTCCCGGAGCGGGCGGCCGGCCCACCGTTCATCATGTTGGCCAGGATGACCGTGGGCAGGATGGAGCCCCAGCCAGACTCCACTATGACCACGCCCAGGATCTCTCCCTTATGCTTCTCCAGCTGCAGCTGTGGAGCCAGCCAATAGCGAGAGAAAGAGAAAGAGAGAGCGAGAGAGAGTGATGAGTGCCTCTAGTCAAAGCGATTGTGGGCAGGAGAAAAATGTATCATCGGAGAAATATAATGGTGTAGCGGAAGAACAGAAACAATGTGCGGAAGAAGGAGGGCCAGATGGGTATAAGACCATTGTCAGCTTCTCTGGTAATTGGCTCAGTCCATGTGCAGTACTTCCACAGAACTAGACTGCCTCACTGCTCATCACACTCTTTAATCCTATGTAAGAGGGCACTGACTGAGCATCAAAAAGTACTCAGAGAAGTGGATTGTACAGTGCAGCTGAGGAACCATTATACAGTTACCTCATACAGTTAAATGAGAGCCAAACCTCTTTGCAGTTCTCAGAGTTGGAGAAGTGGATGAGGTCATCGTTGTACATCTCCTGCGTGTTGATGATGTCACTGTACTCCTTCTGACTCAGGTCCTCTGGGTTGATGCCGTTGGCCCTCAGGAACTCCTGGTAGGCCACGCTAAATGACTGCCCAATCGACTGGGCTATGAGCTGGGCCTGAAGAGCCAATGAGAAGAGAGGATAAGGCCATGAAAATAGAATTTACCCATGAGTGTTAGAGTCAAATTGCTGTGGTCTGAGATGCTTTTTCCCTTCTAGTAATTATATTTCTATGAATAAAACCAGCTATGAATAAAACCAGCTATGCATTTGGCAGAGAAGCAATACACTGCCAATACACTGTCATAGTGACAGCAATGGGGAGAATCACATCACAGAGCAACTGGGGGATGCAGATCAATATTCATTTATGTGGTATGAATCAAAGCACATAAGACAACAGTGGAATTGCTTCACCGTTGCCAAGTACTATATGAGGTCCAATAAACATTTAATATAAATGTCAAAACCTATTTGCCATGTCTTCATTACTGACAACTAGCTTCTGTCTGAAACCAAGTGAGAAAAAAAATATACCATGGATTGATACGTGTTCGCACACTCAAAGCAATGATCTCATAAGTCTTATAGCGATTGGTGAATGAGTGCAGTTACAATTTACAAAAAATGGCAAAAAGTGATTTTAAAAAGCTTATAAAGGATTTCATTTTAAGGGGAGATAATCTATTGCCCATCATTAAACATGACTTATAGGTGATTGTGCAAACCCATTGGATTCACAGAGGTCAGACATTTCTTGTAGATGGCCACCAGGTTTGCACACATCTCAGGAGGGCTTTTGTCCCACTCCTCTTTGCAGATCTTCTCCAAGACATTAAGGTTTTCGAGGCTGACGTTTGGCAACTCGAACCTTCAGCTCCCTCCACAGATTTTCTATGGGATTAAGGTCTGGAGACTGGCTAGGCCACTCCAGGACCTTAATGTGCTTCTTCTTGAGCCACTCCCTTGTTGCCTTGGCCATGTGTTTTGGGTCATTGTCATGCTGGAATACCCATTCATGACCCATTTTCAATGCCCTGGCTGAGGGAAGGAGGTTCTCACCCAAGATTTGACGGTACATGGCCCCGTCCATCGTCCCTTTGATGCAGTGAAGTTGTCCTGTCCCCTTAGCAGAAAAACACACCCAAACCATAATGTTTCCACCTCCATGTTTGACGGTGGGGATGGTGTTCTTGAGGTCATAGGCAGCATTCCTTCTCCTCCAAACACGGCGAGTTGAGTTGATGCCAAATAACTCGATTTTGGTCTCATCTGACCACAACACTTTCACCCAGTTCTCCTCTGAATCATTCAGATGTTCATTGGCAAACTTCAGATGGCCCTTTATATGTGCTTTCTTGAGCAGGGGGACCTTGCGAGCGCTGCAGAATTCCAGTCCTTCACGGCATAGTGTGTTACCAATTGTTTTCTTGGTGACTATGGTCCAGCTGCCTTGAGATCATTGACAAGATCCTCCCGTGTAGTTCTGGGCTGATTCCTCACCGTTCTCATGATCATTGCAACTCCACAAGGTGAGATCTTGGATGGAGCCCCAGGCTGAGGGAGATTGACAGGTCTTTTGTGTTTCTTCCATTTGCGAATAATCGCACCAACTGTTGTCACCTTCTCACCAAGCTGCTTGGCGATGGTCTTGTAGCCCATTCCAGCCTTGTCTAGGTCTACAATCTTGTCCCTGACATCCTTGGAGAGCTCTTTGGTCTTGGCCATGGTGGAGAGTTTGGAATCTGATTGATTGATTGCTTCTGTGGACAGGTGTCTTTTATACAGGTAACAAGCTGAGATTAGGAGCACTCCCTTTAAGAGTGTGCTCCTAATCTCAGCTCATTACCTGTATAAAAGACGCCTGGGAGCCAGAAATCTTTCTGATTGAGAGGGGTCAAATAATTATTTCCCTCATTAAAATGCAAATGAATTCATAACGTATTTGACATGCACTTTTCTGGATTTTTTTGTTGTTATTCTGTCTCTCACTGTTCAAATAAACCTACCATTAAAATTATAGACTGATCATTTCTTTGTCAGTGGGCAAATGTACAAAATCAGCAGGGGATCAAATACTTTTTTCCCTCACTGTAAATGGACCAAAACATGTTCGCACAGCCAAAGCAATGAGCATCATGAAGCCTATAGCATTGGTGCAATGATTGCTTCATTTTTTGTCTAAAATGGCAAAGGTATTGATTGTAAAAAGCTGATCTAAAGAGGAGAAGAAAAGGGGAGTAATCTAATTGCATATCATTAGATATTAGGGATGTTTCTCTCCCATATAGTTTCCTTATAATTCCCTATATTTACCTCCTACTTCCCCTCAGGCTGTTTTAGGGAATAATATGTTTCCTAAGGAAGGAAGCAAGCTGTGGTTGCCCTGTTAACAAACTGACATCCAACCGCATGCTGGGCTTTGATAGACACATGAAGCACATCCTGGACTGTGGTGTGGCTGAAAATTGGCAATATTACTGTGACAGACAGCATATCACACATTGGCAACGTCTCTGCACTGACCGAGGGACAGGGGGCCAATATAAATAACCTGCTATTTGAGTTTTAAGAATCCCATAATATTGTCCCACTCCTTACCCCTAACCATGGGGAAACTCCATTAATGCTCCTGCCCATAACGAATGGAGACAGTAAAGGCAGTAGCTGCCCTTATCCAGACCAGTAGACCCAGGATCAAGCCTACCTTGTCATAGGTATAAAGTAATAAGACACTGTTGGGAGAGGCATAATTGAAATGTATAATTGTCCCTTCTGAGCTGAGGCTAAATGACTCATGTGTTAACACTCAGACTGACTGTCCTTTATGCCACAGCAGCTAATTAGACATAGAGAGATAGAGAGGGACAACTGCAATGCAGGGGCAGACGCACGCTGGCTAGGGGAGGCGAACATGTCATTCATAATGTGTTGTGACTAATCTCTGAATCAGTCACAACACATGACTTCTACATTTAGAAACATGTCCTGTGCATAACCTTTCACCTGGTCCTGATCCTAGTCCTCCAGTTCAGGACATTGTACCATTCGATTATAGCCTCAAGGGATAGATCACAGACACACAGACACTTACGTCCTCAGACTCAAAGACGTGGCAGATCATCTTGTACTGTTTCTTGGCCTCTGGGGCTCCAGGTGTGGTCTCGATGCAGTCCTGGGAGGCTGTGCGGGGCATGCGGCGCCTCGCCATCAGCACCACAATGTTCCCAATGTCAGCTATGTAGGAGATGGTGCGCAGGGCGTTGTCCATCATAGTTTCCTGTGTATGCAACCACAGCAACAAACAATGAACAACTAGTATATTGTGTATTACAATTGAGGCTTAGAGTAAAATAAACACATTGTGTGTTTTTGTAAGCTTCAGATGAAGTATGACAAGGTGTTTATCTTCACATGAGTGTCTGGTAGTGCGGAACATGACCGACAAGGAGCAGGAATGCTCAGCTCTGTCCTGCACGCTCTTCAGCAAAACATAATTAGTCCGTCAGCAGAATTAATGATCCAATTTGTCTGTGCATGCTGTGCCCACAGCCTTTCACCTTTCTCATGGTGAGCAGCCTCAGCAGTGTGGCAGAAATCCATGCATTTCCATTTAGCCCATATGCTCCGTAGCAGGCCAGGCATGGAAATCACAGCTCTAATCAATCTGATGTTCTCAAATGTTCTCATTCCCTCTGGTACACACAGACAGCAGAGACTGAACCAAGGCACGTTTTGAGATTATTTTAAAAAGATTATTCAATAGGATCGCTCTTACATTTTTATACGCGGCACAAATGTTCTTAGTGTGTATGAAATATTACATTATTCCATCTAGGAAATGGTACAATTGGTATAGTCAATAAGAAAAATCACATGAAAATGACATTGTGTTGCTACCAACAGAGCCCCATAAATCCAGACTTTTGCCATCTTGATGGTTGCGGGAAGTAGGTAGCCTTGTGCCAGGCAGGGAGTGGAGTAGAGAGACACTGCATTGCAGCACGTTACAGTAGGCTCTGCCAGGCAGCCAGCCCACACACTGCTGTTCTGTTCAGTAGGACTGCAACTCAACGACAGGGACACACATTCTGTTCACAGTCAGCTGGCACTCTACAGCAGAGACATCACTGTTAACACTGTGGCTGACCCTCTCACATTGGACAATCTTGTTTCCCATAGGTTCCCATACGACATTAAGGCGTGACATCAAGAGTAAAGTTACACTGTACCTAATGTATAACTGCATTACTGTTCAAAGTTATGTGTCAAGCTTATGTGTCCTAAACAATTTGGCTTTGGAGTTGAGATGATTTCTGACAAATTAATATTGCAGATGGATTGGGTTGGGAATCAAATGGGTTGGGAATCAAATGGGTTGGGAATCAAATGGGTTGGGATACAAAGTGTTTAAAACTAGCTTTCATCTTACTGCTAAGTCCCACTTTATTGACAGCTGTCCATAGAGGCTTTCTGGCTTTAACATTTTTTTTTTTTATCCTCTCTCAGAGGGAGATCAGATAAAAAAGATTAAATCAATAAATGATCATCAAAATCTGTCACAAAAGACACTGAGAGGAGTTGCGTGTCTATGGCCCCACTGCATTTGATTGGTCCTGTTAAGGCTGGAGTCAGGACCTCTACTCACCTGTGTGTCTGCGTTGAGCACTTTGATCCTCTGGGTGGAGATGAAGAGGTCCACCTCTGTCAGTGTGTGTGCGTCCCCCTCTGGGCTCTGGACGGAGACAAGAGAGAGACAGGTGTGTCAGAGTCCCCCCTGTGGCAGGAGAGAGTGGCCCTGGTGCCCATTCTGTAAGCACCCTGGCTGGGGGCTGAGGACTGGGGAGAGCTCACCAGGGGCCTCGGTTAAGAGGCTGCACTCTTTCATCTCCCGTTGAGAGCAGTTTTAAAGCTATTTCATAAATCATGCAATGATGTTATAGGTTGGGCCCCGGCAGACTCCTGGCGAGCCTACAGTAGGTGTTCAGTCAGTGCTGGACTATAGCTACACCCATAGAGAACAGCCATAAAATGTACATTCATATTCCATTTCATAATCTGAATTATAACACATTGTAACACATAGATATCTCCTAAAGGATTGGTTAGTAGCATTGCCATAGGATGTTGTTGTTGTTTATTGAGTGGTGGTCATGCTCACATTGTTCCACACAAAATGGGTCTCTGTAGGCTACTGTACCTTTACAATGGGAACTTGGCTAAGTGATTAATAATATTCATTTTCATGATAAATGGTAATGTGTTTGTGCATGCATGACTGCATGGAATACATGTGGAATCAAAAACAGCCATCTCAGTGACAGACAGGGCCAGCATCCAGACCAGAGCAGAGTGGAAGGGATTTGAGGCAGCAGCAGTGAGGGCTGGTCATATAGTCACAGAGGGACCCGATTGGCTCTGGGGCTTTACATCAATAGGTCTGACATGATGTTGGTGTGTTGAGAGTTGGAACAGATGAGAGTAGGAGCAACATAGCAGTGCTAGCTAAGCCATTACGAGCTGCCGGATGTGTGTGAATGCCAGTCCCAGGCATGTGGATTGCATTCACGCTAATCACCACGCACTGCGTATTAATTCAATCTTGAACGTTTGATTTAGGTTAATTAACTAAGAGGTTATGTGTGTATAATGAGGAGCATAATATACATGTTTTTAAAATATGTACTATATAATGAAACAGCTGGGGAGCAATTTATTTGATGATATGTCTAATAGTATTCATTATAATTTGTAGTAATTCTGTGTAGGCTAGAATATTTCTTTACATCATCAATATCATCAATGGATTAAATGTTTGCTGGCTCTGTTTTTCAGAGTACAAGCTGCAGGGATAGGATGTTCCCAGAGTTCGCACAGTCCAGCCTCTCAGTGATGCATGCTGGGTAATCAGATGGAGTGGGATATGGAGATTCTCATCATGATTCTAGTCACATCCTCACACTCCACGGCTCAGAGTGTGTCAGGGTGAGACAGACAGACAGTACACACAGATGGAACAGGGAGCCGGAGGGTGATGGTGGAGTCAAGGTGTCCCTTTTCTCTGTTCTTATCAGATCAGATTGTTTTACACACCGCCTTTTTCTTGATTTTGGCAGCCTTCTGAACCCTCTGGGAGGAGTCGTTGGGACAGAACAGGGTCGTCAGACACGGGACAGGAGGAGCGGCAAAAACAGAGGGCAGGAAATAAAGAAAGTAAAAGAAAGTAAGAGACAATAACTAAACCAAACAGCAGGTGTGTCACTGCTCTGAAAGGGAGAGGAGCGGTGGCACAGCTGTGTTCTGCAGAAACAAATTCAACTGCTCTTTTGAATACAGCAAATCATAAAGACATGCAAAAATGAGTTGATACCATACCTTTATATCAAAGTAAAAAAGGGAACTTCAGTAGCATATGCAAATACTCTATCAAAGGGCTTCAGGATCAAGTCAAGGCAAGACATGCTTGGCATACCCTTCCTGTCCACAACACATTCTTTCAGAACATGGTGAGGAATTACAGCAGAGCCCAGCATCCTGAGATGACTTGACATGTAATTTAAGGCAACGCAATGATTTAGTCCTGTATTGACATCAGTCACCATCCCCCTAGAGAAATGAGATGTCAAAACTGACAGTTGGTGACTGAGTGGTTTTCAAATGGTCTAATAACAACACATTGAGAAACCTACTGTAGGGTGGCTGACCAGAAAACACGGACAAACACAGATTCAGATTCAGTTAATTCAGTTAAGATTCAGATTCAGTTAATCTCACACCTCTCTGTTTTGGTTGAATGCATTCAGTTGTGCAACTGACTAGGTATCCCCCTTTCCCTCTCCCAACACTGAGCGCCACAAAAAGACCTTAACGCTGTATGTCGACTGCACAGGACCAGAAGGAGGGTGTAGTGAAGTCCAGACACATAAAGGACCTCTGTTTGTGTTTGTGAGCCCTGAGCTGAAACTGGTTGATCTGTTTCCAGTCCCATCCATTATCAGTCAGATAGACTCTGTTCCTTGGCTGCCTGAGGGAGTTGGTGCCACAGCTCTCTGCAAGCCAGCCAGTCAGGAGCAGAGGAAGGGTCAGTGCTCTCTCTACGCTTCACAATGTGCTGAGAGATAGAGCAGAGGGCATGATCTTGCCTCTCAGACGGTCGAGCAAGTTGGATGTTTGCGTGCTGCAACTAGTCAGTTTATTTGTGTTTGTATGGGAAGCAGAGCAGAGAATGGCCTACAGGGATAATCCTGGGTTGTTTGTAACACATTTACTCCTCCAGCTTCAGCCCTCCTAATGCAAGGCAGACATCTGAGTCCTCCAGCTACATCCAGCTACATCCACTGCAGCAAATCAAGGCAGGCAGAAAAGGGAGTGGGCGATGAAGCTGCATAAATATTACATCAAAATGAGGGTTGCATGCCAAAAAAGATTTGCATAAATAAAACATAAGACGCTGTGCTATTTACCTGCAATGTTATGTTTTTTTGTGTTTGTAAAGGCTCACTTCATTCTCTGTAGCTTTGGACTAAATATTGAGGACAGCAGTGTAATTAAGCTGTGTGTGGGTTGTTGTTGGTGTTGGAGTGGCTAAGATCTGAGAACCATAAAATGGTAGAGGCAGGCAGCACAGAGCACCATGCCCAGTCACAGTGTTAAGGGGTTGGTGTGTGAAGAAATGGTAGCTACCAAAACATAAAAGAGCCCAATCCCCTGCCTCCAGAGTGACATATGGCCAATTCATCTGTGGAGAGACACATCATCTGCAGTTCCTCTTCAGAAAGGTCCCCTGTAGCTCAGTTGGTAGAGCATGGTGCTTGCAACGCCAGGGTTGTGGGTTCGTTTCCCACGGGGGGGCCAGTATGAAAAATGTATGCACTCACTAACTGTAAGTCGCTCTGGATAAGAGCATCTGCTAAATGACTAAAATGTACAAATGGGAGAGAATAATAATAATAAATAATATGCCATTTAGCAGATGCTTTTATCCAAAGCGACTTACAGTCATGCGTGCATACATTTTTGTGTATGGGTGGTCCCGGGGATCGAACCCACTACCTTGGCGTTACAAGCGCCGTGCTCTACCAGCTGAGCTACAGAGGACAAGTGGCATGCTTTCCGATGGCCTCCTCCACAGCTGAACAGCCAACATAAAAAACAACAACTTGCAGTTAAGTGTTGCCATGGTTTCAACTTCAAAGGCCTTGGATGGTAGGGAGAGAATGGAAGGACAGATTGGATTTCTTTTCACTGGGATGGATGGAGACAGATCCCAGCAGCAGTGGAAGAAAGGCAGGTGCCTTCAAGACAAATATCCCTCCAAAAGCTGCCAGCTTTTCCCAAAGGAAAGCTGGCAGCTGCTCAGATGGGAGGGTCACCTGCCCCAGTCTTGTGCCTGCTGAAGCAGACTTCTGCTGGACAGGAGAGTGTGCCACTGTGTCACACAGAGCTGTGGGCCAATCTGACCCACTGAGCTAACACACACCCCCATCTCTGCTCTGCAGTGACTGGCTGGCCTTGCCACAGGTGGATGTTTCTAAAAGTAGATCCCAGCTGAGTGCCAGTGGACCACTGTGAGTTAGGTTATAAAACATTAATGATACAGGCCAGCCCATGTTTTCATGAGAGGGAGAGGAAATGTATTGTGCCTGGACAGCTTATGAACATTTGGTGTTTCATCTTAGGTTGTATTTTCTTTTATCCAATAGGTATAGCTCCCAAAATCATGTACAGAGTCTCCTTGTCTATGGTCTCAACAATACATTGTCAGCACACATGAACTCATTCAAAAACATACACATTTCACTGCATGGGAATACATACCGTGCAAATACTATATTTGTGATCATACTGTTATCAGACTGAGGGAAAATGTCAAAAGCTAGACTGCCAAAAGCAATTATAACTCTAGAGCTAGTTGAAAGCCAACCAGTAGTGAAGTGATTGAAATGCACAGTGGCTGAGTCTGTTTTGAATATGGCCATCCTCTCTGGCTGCTCCCCATCAGTATTCATAGCAGAGAAGAAATGTAGAAAAGGGGGCGGAAATGGAAGGGGAAACATAACCTCTGTGTTCCAGCAATCCATTACCAACACCATGTGACACGTGCTTTACCCCAATCTGGCCCAACTGAAGCCCTAATGGACTGCTAATTCTGGCCAAATCTCAAACTGCTCTGACTGGGGAGGTAAACAGTATTGATGTCCATGTGGATTTAATAGGCCAATCTGGACCTCACTTTAATTAAAAAGACCAGCATCTTGCACTCACATTTTAACTCCATTTATAAAACTGTTATATCTGTCTGCCCAGATTGCAGACTATCTACAGCAAGAGGTTCCATTTAGAGCACTAATTAAAAAGGTTTCCAGCGGTTATGTCAATACACTGTATAAGCTTTGATGTCTCCATCAGGTTTTTCTATATGCCTGAAACATGAATATAAAGTTTATTCAGATATACTATAACTAGAAAGATCAAATAATATTGATGAATACCTTAAGGGGTTGTTCCCTCTATAGGGCATCATTAAATCCTGACAGTATAAAAATAAAAGAGTGGGTTGTAAACAGAGCTAAAGGACTGTAAACTAACCCACTGGGGAGGAACATGATTACACAGTACCACTGCATCCTACATTACAGTAGCAATAATCCTACTAGATTGGACACTGTCTCCTGGGATGTAAACAAACACATCTGACACCCTCACTCTGAATCTTCCAAAACGGTTCCTAGAGTCACAGTGAAAACATACAAGATCAAAACAACATTCAAATGAAAAGAAGGGAGGAAGGGATTTGAAACGGGTGGTGCAGTGTGTGTGTGTGTGTGTGTGTGCGTGTCTATGTGTGCGTGTGTGTGTGTGTGTGTGTGTGTGTGTGTGTGTGTGTGTGATGGAAGGCCTGTCTGTTGTCTGTCCGTACCTTGACCCGGCTGACAGCCTCCTGGGCCTGCATCATGCGGATGTTCTTGGACGGGTTCCTCTCAGAGAGCAGCTGGGTGGAGCCCAGGTAGTTAGCAGCAAAGATGATGCCATCAATAAGATCTTCTGGCTCACAGGGCCCTGGAACTGACAGAGAGAGACAGGGAGAAGGGATGGACAGAGAAACGAAGGAGCAGGAGAAGATCAACGCTATTAGATCATATTTATTTTGCAAAACAAAGAAATCTCTGTGTTATTCTAGTTAAGCTCTGAGATGAAAGGTCATATACGTATGAGTATTGGTAGCCTTCTGTATGTACAATTTCAATAAATCAAACACTGCAATTCTGTAGCTGTTGGGTATTATGCAGAGAAACAATCATGGTGGAGGCTTGAGCAGTAAAATGTCCACGGGTGGGAAGGGAGCTGAGAGAGGCACAGGGGGATCAATGTGCCCGTGTGATATGTAGATGTGGACTCTGTGACATCCACTGAGGGATACAATGCACTGTCATGATATCAGAGAGAGTGAAAGAAAGAAACAGCTCAGCCTCCAGGAAGATTAGGCCCTGCCGTTCGTTGACCCAGTGGTGAGAGGGGCCTGGCGAAGAATGCCTTGAAAACATCTCGAACCAAACATACACAGAGGCCTGGGATTGGCCTGCTTAGATATACAGTGGGGGAAAAAAGTATTTAGTCAGCCACCAATTGTGCAATTTCTCCCACTTAAAAAGATGAGAGAGGCCTGTAATTTTCATCATAGGTACACGTCAACTATGACAGACAAATTGAGAATTTTCTTTCCAGAAAATCACATTGTAGGATTTTTTATGAATTTATTTGCAAATTATGGTGGAAAATAAGTATTTGGTCACCTACAAACAAGCAAGATTTCTGGCTCTCACAGACCTGTAACTTCTTCTTTAAGAGGCTCCTCTGTCCTCCACTCGTTACCTGTATTAATGGCACCTGTTTGAACTTGTTATCAGTATAAAAGGCACCTGTCCACAACCTCAAACAGTCACACTCCAAACTCCACTATGGCCAAGACCAAAGAAACACCAGAAACAAAATTGTAGACCTGCACCAGGCTGGGAAGACTGAATCTGCAATAGGTAAGCAGCTTGGTTTGAAGAAATCAACTGTGGGAGCAATTATTAGGAAATGGAAGACATACAAGACCACTGATAATCTCCCTCGATCTGGGGCTCCACGCAAGATCTCACCCCGTGGGGTCAAAATTATCACAAGAACGGTGAGCAAAAATCCCAGAACCACACGGGGGGACCTAGTGAATGACCTGCAGAGAGCTGGGACCAAAGTAACAAAGCCTACCATCAGTAACACACTACGCCACCAGGGACTCAAATCCTGCAGTGCCAGACGTGTCCCCCTGCTTAAGCCAGTACATGTCCAGGCCCGTCTGAAGTTTGCTAGAGTGCATTTGGATGATCCAGAAGAGGATTGGGAGAATGTCATATGGTCAGATGAAACCAAAATATAACTTTTTGGTAAACTCGCCGTGTTTGGAGGACAAAGAATGCTGAGTTGCATCCAAAGAACACCATACCTATTGTGAAGCATGGGGGTGGAAACATCATGCTTTGGGGCTGTTTTTCTGCAAAGGGACCAGGACGACTGATCCGTGTAAAGGAAAGAATGAATGGGGCCATGTATCGTGAGATTTTGAGTGAAAACCTCCTTCCATCAGCAAGGGCATTGAAGATGAAACGTGGCTGGGTCTTTCAGCATGACAATGATCCCAAACACACCGCCCGGGCAACGAAGGAGTGGCTTCGTAAGAAGCATTTCAAGGTCCTGGAGTGGCCTAGCCAGTCTCCAGATCTCAACCCCATAGAAAATCTTTGGAGGGAGTTGAAAGTCCGTGTTGCCCAGCGACAGCCCCAAAACATCACTGCTCTAGAGGAGATCTGCATGGAGGAATGGGCCAAAATACCAGCAACAGTGTGTGAAAACCTTGTGAAGACATTGCCAACAAAGGGTATATAACAAAGTATTGAGAAACTTTTGTTATTGACCAAATACTTATTTTCCACCATAATTTGCAAATAAATTCATTACAAATCCTACAATGTGATTTTCTGGAGAAAAAACATCTCATTTTGTCTGTCATAGTTGACGTGTACCTATGATGAAAATTACAGGCCTCTCTCATCTTTTTAAGTGGGAGAACTTGCACAATTGGTGGCTGACTAAATACTTTTTTTCCCCACTGTAGCTCTCCCACATTGACGAGTAACTCACTGACATGTCTGACATGATGGCTCTCAAGTAAATTGCCCAAATAAAGATAGTGAAAAATGAATATGATAATTCGTCTTCATTTTCAAATGCAGACTCATTCATCTGTTGATCAATCTCTCTCTCTCTCTCTCTCTCTCTCTCTCTCTCTCTCTCTCTCTCTCTCTCTCTTGCTCTCTCTCATAATAACATGTTGATCGCATGCAACAGCTGCAAGCTCATATTTTCTCTCGTTAATACGCCACGATCTGTCATTTTGCAACTAGATTTTGAGTGGTTATTAAGGCGCTTGAAATAGAGAGATAAATCTAATATCCTTGGAATGAGCAGATCCCTGCACCCAAAGTGATATAAGCCTCTTACAGGGAATATCTGTTTTGGATGTTGTGAATTTGATGAATTTGATGCATTTTTGTATTTTGATTTCATCCTCAACATATTGAAACATCTGGAGTAGTTATGAGACAGAGTTAAATGAAACAAATGTAGAGGTAGCTTACCATCAACAAAGCTGGGGAAAGATGCAGCTTTCTTTGTTTCCTGAAAAACACAAAGTCTTGATTGAACTCTCTGAAGTAGTGAAACAGAATGAAATATGCATTATCTCATTTCATGAAACTCAAAGGAAAACCGCCACTCTGCAAGGCTTTTGGCTTCCACAACAAACAACAGACAACAGACCAACAAACTCCAAAAGCTTCATTCTATCAAAGAAGATGAAGCATTTTTGAACATCAGTTCAAAGTAGCCTATGAAATTGATACAAACCCTATTCATGAACAGATAAGGAAGAAAATGTAAGAAACGATGCAAAAACTGAATACATAGAAGTGTGCTACACTCTTCGAAAAAAAGGTGCTATCTAGAACCTAAAAGGGTTCTTCGGCTGTCTCCATAGGATAACCCTTTGAAGAACCCTTTTTGGTTCCAGGTAGAACCCTTTTGGGTTCCATGTAGAAGCCTTTCCACAGAGAGTTCTACATGGAACTCAAAAGGGTCCTACCTGGAAGCAAAAATGGTTCTACCTGGAACCAAAAAGGGTTATCCTACGGGGACAGCCGAACAACCCTTTTGAGAAAAAAATTCTAAGAGTGTATAGTACAGATCAAAGGAAGTACAACTTCATGGCATCGACCTGATTGTAAACAGTGGTCCATGTTAACATGCAAGGTCATGACATGCCTAAATCTTCAGATGTGAAACACTACTGTATATCAATACTTCTACAGAGCTCTGCATGATATAGCCACACATTAAAGCACTCTGAGTTATGGCCATCACTTGAAAGACATGCCACTCAAATGGAGGGTCCAGGCTGAAATATGAGTGGCCGTTCATTACAGTCTGTGAGGAAGGCCCAGGAGCACTATCAATCCACTTGATAACTTAAAGGGAAACAACATCCTAGTATATGTTGGTACACTTATGCTATAGTGGCCTCCCGCAAATATACACCCAGCTGTTGCTTTGCCGATACTTAAATGCTTCCGTATCATACTAGACAACCTTTAAAGTGAAGATGTGCCTCGCTCTGCAGTTCGGCTGTGCTCTCCAGGCTTAGTGCTGTCGTGTGAATGAAAGCCTGGCTGGACAAAACCATGTTAGGATAATAAGTCAAGTCTGGGTTGGGCAGAGGAGAGGGCTCTTATGGAGGTTGTTCAGAGCAGAAAGGGCTGTGTCTCTGAGCGTCATTTCAACAGTCAGATCAAGGTTGAGTGGTTTTCCCTGATGTAAACACACAGCTTGCTGCTCCCAACCAGTGGTTTGACTGCTGAGTCAAAAAAGGGCACAGCCAATTCCCTTCCTTTCAGAGCAATGGAAGTGGGGGAGGAGGATAGCAGCATTGTACAGAATGTCCCTGAGAGAAATGTCCACATTAATAACAGTGGTGATTTCCTTAAGCAAACTGGACAACCACACTGTGTTAGCTGGAGACAGGGACTTCATTAATTCATAAACACAGTTAATTGATTCTCATAAATCCTCTGGGACTGGCCTTTTAACTATCCCAAAGCCTAGGACCAAGAGGTATGGTGAGGCAGCCTTTAGTTATTATGCCCCCAGCCTCTGGAACAGCCTGCCAGAGAACCTGAGGGGGGCCGAAACTGTGGACATATTTAAAAGAGATCTTAAAACACATCTTTTTAGCTTTGCTTTTCCTTAGGGTGCTTTTTAGTTGTTCAGTTTGTTATTTTGTTATTTATCTTATGTTTGTTGTGTATTACATATTTCAGCTTTTATTTGAATTGTTTTTTATAAGTTTTTTCCTGTAAAGCACATTGTGTTGCATTCCATGTCTGAAATGTGCTGTATAAATAAAGCTTGATTTGATTTGATGATAAATAATCTGTATGATAATAATCAGAAGAAAATCCCTTCACACCCATGACACGGGCTCTGAAGGCAAGCACAGGACGGTAATCCTATGTATTCCACATAATATCATCTGTCACAATGAGTTTGGACTGCTGCCTCAGACGAGCCAGGTCCAGACAGAGACAGTTTACCTCCGGGACATTGTTGTTCTCCAGCGGCACGTTGAGGTCAGAGCGCTGCTGTTTCCTGGGCTGCTCTGCACCGTTTGTCATCTGTGGGGGTTAAACCAGGGGTTAAACAGGGACCAGCGGGCAACAGAGAGTTAATAGTACATTTCCAAGCAGACAGTAGAAATGAAAAAAAAAGGGCCGGTCCCTTAGGGAGCTACAGCTAACATACATTAGTAATACAGTCCGGTACAGTTCTCTATGGGTCGGAGAAAAGAGAGTAGGTGTAATGAAAAAAAAATATGGTCATGCTATTATTAGACATTAATTGAGTTCAGTAACACGTATTTCTCTGAATTACACACACAACATAATAGTGTTTGAGTACCGCTATAGTCATGACAGTTCACATTTACTTTGCAAAGCATGGTAAAGCAAAGCATGATAAAGATTATGAAATTAAAGATTATGAAATTGCTCTAATTTCATATTAACATAATTCAACAATCCTTCTATTTACAGCAACAGCACAATCATAAATCCTGATTAGTATTCAACATCTACACATCAGCTTGAACAAACAGTAATTAATTAATAATCATTTCCATTTGTTGTTTGACAGGATAAAACAAATATCTGCCCTGAGGAAGGAGGAAGTATCCAGCCTGAATCTGATGTTTTCAAACACTTCAGTGAGACTTAAACACAGTACCTGAACGCTGAAAGCATTTTGCAAAACATTTACAACTGCTGCGTAAAATCACAAACAGTCACCGAATTTAACCTGGGCAGTAGATTTTTTATTTTGGTTGTCAGTGACTGTTCTGCACAATATGTGCTTGCTTCCAATATAATCCAGTTATGTGGCCTGTCCCACTTCTCTCCAACAACACAGTAAAGAGAACACACACAGACACATACAACCATACACACTGTTATGCATAACACACATCCACACAATGGAGCAGGTGTGTATCAGCATGCTGCCGTCCCATACCGCAGGGCACACATAGGCTCTCCCCTCACCTCACCATCTGGCTGGGCTGGGGGCGAGCATGGTAGGACTCAGAGAGCGGCTTGGGGGGAGGACAGGAAGAGGCTATGTGTGTGTGTGTGTGTGTGTGTGTGTGTGTGATTGTGTGTGTGTGTGTGTGTGTGTGTGTGTGTGTGTGTGTTGTGTGTGTGTGTGTGTGGAATACAAGAACAGGCTGGATCTGAATGAGGGCAGTGGGCGTGGGAGATGGAGAGGGGAGCTCAAGGTGTCTGGCTGTGGCTGGGGGATGGGTCTCCAGCTGGGGGAAGGGAAGGGTCTCACTAGCTACACTATAGCTACAATGCAATAACCTGCCTGTCAACCACCTCACACATAATAAATATCTCCCTATCACAAATCTTGTTTTAATCAGTTCCAATGGCATAGGTCTGCTCCAGAATCTGAACATAACCTGACCGTACATCTTATGTATTAAACACATGCCGTGACCCCACTCTCCAAGGGTGTCTCAGGGGGAGTGGGATATGCAAAAAAAAACATTTCCATTTCACCACACACTGTACAGGTTACACACTTGTACGTGTGTGAAACAGGACAAATATAAGCAACCCCGATTTGACCTTTAATGTATAACGTTACTCTATACAGATCTCTCCCTGAGGGCATTGGACCATCCCCCACTAAGGTAAAGTGTAAAGAAGGAGGACCATGGTTTAAGGGTTGGTTTAGTCCTTTTAAAATGGATAGTTTGATAAATGCCCCAAAATCTAGACGATTAAAAACCCAAGTCATGTTTATCCAGGAGATTAGTGTTTGAATCGGAAAAATGAAGTCTGAAAATAACTTTGATCACTCTGCCCTTAAACTCCCTGTAAAATGTGGAAGAGAGATTAAACGTTGGACTTATATTCTGACAACCTTCTCAACACCTAAACTGTATGCCTGACTTTTCATTCACATCATTTCAATAGAGTAGATTCAATGAGCGTGTGTATAAAATACCCATCAAAATGGCCTCTCCCTCTCACCTGTTCTTGAGCCCACCGCTGTCGCTCCTCAGGGGTGCGGGAGCGAACCTTGAAGCCCCTCTGGAGATCAGGGTTGTTGTGCCGTGTGGAGGGGAGGTTGAGGGACTTGGGTCTGCTGTCGTGGCGGTGTGGGGTTGGGGTGTAGGGGGCAGGCTCAGGCTTGGCATGGGCCTCAGGAGGGTGGTAATCACTGGGTGCACCGTCTTGCACCAGCTCCTCAGGGCTCTGGTCAGTACCACCACTGCTCAGGCTACCCATGCTCATACTCATCTTGATCTCTGCCACTATCTGGTCAATGTCCTCCTCCCCCGTCTCCTCCCCCGTCTCCCCCTCCACTACCACCTTACGGCCACGGTATGGAGACCGCGGTACGTGAACCACAGAGTTCCCATTGTCCTCCTCTGGCGCATAGCAGTCCCCAGTGTAGCCAACCCCAGCTCTCTCCTCCTCTACCACCTCCTCATCGTTAGGAAGGTACTCCTCCCCCTCCTCTTCTTCCTCCTCTGTGGGTGCGGGGGACTCATGCAGGATGGCGGCGGGGTGAGGGTGGTGGTCCAGGATGGGCTCCGGCCGCCCGTCGTAGATCTGTTCATCTGGGTCCTGCTCTACCACCTCACAGCGCACCTCCCCCACCTCCACCCCCCCTTCTCCCTCCACCCACTCCTCCACCGCCTCCTGGCACTCGTCTGTGTCGGCCGGCGGCTCAGCCCGGACGTGCTGCACGGTGCTGGCGGTATAGTCAGCCTCGGCCTCATTGCAGTCCATGCTGCCCTCCAGGTAGCTGTCATCCTCAGGGCAATAGCGGATGTAGTAGGTGACGCCCTCGTCCTCCTCCGGCAGACCTTCATCATAGTCCTCCTCCTCTGAGGTGTTGTTTACATAGTCAGAGCTGGAGTCTCCGTCCAGGCTGTCAGCGTGGTCGTGGCGGTGGCCTTGGCATCCTGCATGGTCGTGGTGGTCATTGATGTGACTCTGGACATGGCCATGGTCGTGGTCATGGCAGTCTACATCGTCGTGACTGTGACCGTGAGCGTGACCATGACAGTCTGCATGCTCGTGGTCGTGGCCATGGCACTCTGCATGGTCGTCGCTGTGACTGTGGTCATCATGGTCCTGGCAGTCTGGGTGATCGTGGTCATGGCTGTGTTCATGCTCGTGTTCCGGCTCCGGTGTAGTAGGTGTGGCCGGCCGGCTGTCCGTCAGCTCTGGCTTCAGGCCCTGCTGGCGGCAGTAGTGGACCTCCTCCTCCTCCTCCTCCTCCCCCTCCCCAGGCCCCTCCTCATGGTCCTGGCTGTGCTGCTCTGGGGGGTAGGCGGCGGGGCAGGGCGGCCGGGCGGGGGGCTCCACCATGCTGCAGCTGGAGCCACTGGTCCCTGGCCTCTTCCTGTGAGCCATCGCTGGCGCTGGCTGCTTACAGGCCATGCATCTCAACTGTCCTCAGTCCTACAGAATGCAGAAAGACAGAACCACACCATTAGAGCTATACTGCCACAGTACAATCATCACAAATAACATTTAATGAAATACAGTGCAGGAAGGCTATAAAGATACAGTTTTGTAAGTGTTATGCAGCCCCCCTCCCCCAGTGAGTGAGCCTTTTAGACACAGTGACCACTGTGTTGTCCTACTGTGAAAACCTGTTCGGGCCAATTAGAGATGCACTATGACTGACAGCTAGGAAGGAAAGGCACGGAGGATGTTTACCTTTTCCTCATCACAACAGAAAGACATAGTGAGGGAACCAGTGCTTTTAACCACCGCTCTACCCAAAATTACAACCAACTAATTGCAGCATTACTGCAAAAATTGAATAGGCAAGTGGAAGGAGGAGCATTAAAGACCAAAGTTGGTTAAAGAAAATTGTCGGCCCTGCATTAAAGACCAAAGTTGGTTAAAGAAAATTGTGATAAATAAAAAAGGATACCAGTTTCATTTAAGGACCAAAAATTGACAGCTGTGCCATATAGATTGCAAAATGGTTGGGAAGAGATTTTTGATGTTCCGATTCCATAGCACATGGATTATGAACTGATACACAAAATGATGCCGGATTCAAAACTTTTTTTTTTTCAATTTAAATTATTATACAAAATTCTTGCAATCAATAGAATGTTATATAAATGGAGGATACAACCATCCCAGCTCTGCAGATTTTGCTGCGAAGAGACAGAATCATTCGATTATTTGTTTTGGTACTGTCCATATGTAGCTTGTTTTTGGTCGCAGGTTCAGGAATGGCTGAAGAATTGCAACATTTAACTGGAGCTAACACTGCAAATAACACTGCTGGGTGATTTGAAAAGTCATATTCAATCGATAAATAATGTAATAATACTCTTAGCAAAAATGTTTATTTTTAATTTACAATCTTTAGAAATTATGAGAATAGAACGGTTCAGAACTTTTGTAAAACACCATAGCAAAGTTGAAAAATATATGGCAAATAGAAATCAAAACTGGATGGTCTTCAGAGATAGATGGGAGGGGTTGAGGGTAGCTGAAGGATGGGACTAAAAACAAACAAAAGATAACTATTGTAAAAATATACTGTGTCCGTAAAATGTATATAGTATGTATAAGCTGGAAGTAGAAACCTAAGTGTTGTTGTCCATTAGTTCACTTCAATTCGGGGAGGGGTGGTAGGGTTAGGGGAAAATAATAAAGTAAAATATATATATTTTTTAAATATATATTTCATATAAATGTATGTATTTACAAAAAATATATATATGGGGGATTGGAAATAATGCAGACAATTACATTGATGGCAGCCACAAGCTATCTGCAATATCAAAGCTAATATATCCCCTAAATGTTTTTACAAAAGAATACAATAAAAAATATTAAAGGCTTTTAACCACATACACACCTCATGTGAAACCACATCTACCCCCAGGAGTCCCCAGCATATTACAACTAGCATTGTAGTCGCATTGAGCTCAGTATGGAAACACAATTCCAAACAAACATAATGTGCATCTCACTGTGGTAATGATCAGGATAACTAGTCTGACAGTCTGTGGCTCTGTGCATACCTCTAAGTTAGCTCTAACTCATCCTAACATAGCATCCATGCCTTTACAAAAGGCTGATGCACATTGATTCCCCTGCTGAACACAAACCCCTCTCTCTCTTTCTCTCAACCTGGGACACAGGATCTCTTCACCACTGAAAGACCTGATCAATTACTGCTATTGAGTCACACAGGTTCTCTAGTGGCTTACCCACACCCAGACCCACACTTAAGTGCTTACTTAGCACTACTGCATTAGCCTTGACACAACACAGAACTCTGCTCAATACAGCGCTTTGCATTGAGTTCTGTTTGGCCCGCGGACAAACGTCTGAGGCAAGAGAATGAAACAAAGAGGGAGCCTTAAGCTAACTGGACTCTGACAGTCATACGATCCATACTCAAACGGAGGTCATCTCTACACAGAGGCCTGTGAATATTCACTCCTAACATCGGGAGAGATTGGCGAGATGTTCAGTCTCCCAGAGTATCTGGGCTGGTATTGATCTGCACACAGCAGGGTGGATAATGGCTCGCCTGGGAGATTGGGATCATTCTCCTAATTCAGATTGCTAGAATCATTGTTAGGGTGCGGCCACGAGGCGAGCAGGGAGAGATTATGTTGGGGTATTTCTGGTGCTTCCGCACGCAGGCCCCTAAACAAATTCAACAATCTCATTAAAAAGCTATCAAACAGTGAAGGGATGGTATAAATCATGTGAGAAGCCATTAATAGAGGACGCACACACACAAGGCTGGGAAGACGAGTGCCAGCACAAAAACATTAGATGAATATTAAAATACTGCGATTTAAAAGAGAGAGTGAGGGAACCCTGTGTCCCACTTTCTCTCCTCCTCTCCTCTACGTTAGTTCCACCTGTCTCATCTCCACCAGTTGCCACTAACAACTGGCCCCTCTTCTCTCTCTCTCTGCCCATAATTACGTTTTCCATCACCGGTGATTGCAAAGGCTAATTATCCCTCAATCCAGCATCCACAGAGGCAGAGGCCCTCTCCCCATCTCCCTGTCCGTCAGGAGGCTGTGTCTGGGGGGTGCCCTAGGTAGAGCTCCAGAAGCACACATACACAGTCACACATATACAGAACACATGATTCCCCATTCAACCCAGCTTTCTATCGTTATAGTGGGTACAATAGGAAATGTGAAAACGACACATGCTGTAGATATCTGACTTGCAGAGACTCATACAGGGCAATAATAATAAGGCATGTAACTATATGTCCTACCTCTGTCTCTGGTCCTGAGCAGTAGTAGTGTTGTAGTGATACAGGCGTGTAGCCCTGCCTTACCCCATCCCCCACCAGCTGCTCTCCTCTACGCTCCTCCTTCCTCCTCCTCCTCCCGGCTCCCCTATTATTTTCAGTATCTTCTAGCAGCCAGCCCTGCCTTGCCCACTCCCAATGGGGAATTATTGGTAGCTAAGAGTAACTGCCTCCCATTGGTACCAATGACCTTTCACTTCCTCTTTGTTTGGTTTTGAATAAATCCACCCCTCTTTTTTTTACTGTTGACTGAAGATTTCTACCAAGAGTGTGTATGTTTTACCTCTCCTTCAATGTATTCTGTCTGCCTGTATCTATTTTGTATGTGCAGAGTGTCTGTGTGTCTACCTACCTATCAATAGAATTGCTGAGGTGTGAATCATTCAATCCTCCCAGTCCCCAAATAGCTTTCCCAAATTCTGCTTTGTTTGAGCTGAGCTGTTTGAATTACAGACTTGACAGCTTTTATTGAATTTGAATATATTACCATGTGAATGATGACCTATCACAACAAATACATAATACATCTGTCCTACCTGTTCAGGGAAATGTATATTCTGTCCCCTGGTATACCCCTAATTCAAAATGAAATATAATGCAGAACGATCTGCATAGCGAACAACATTTTTCCCCTAGACATCTACTCTCACAAAGATATCCTCCTCTGAACGACACATAACCATGTCAATGTGAATCCTGACACCAGCCAGTGCCACATGCCTATTGTGTCCAAGTCCCAAGTCTCTCTCATCTGATTGCAGTAAAACATGTGACAGGCCTGACGACTAAACCCTGGTACAAATCACAGTTGGTACTTTTTGAACAAGCAGCCTTAATGAGAATAGTGACTATGAGCATCACAGTGAGGAAATGACTAGAAAGCTCATAAAAACAGCACTACAGTCCAATAGAGATGTTTTCTCCCATGTGCTTCCTATAATTAGGACATTCTAATATGTATGTCAAAAGAGGAATATCAAAGTGGTTTCTCTATGGCTGTTCCCGGGTGATGTGGAGCTTATGCTGTATCTTTGTGTAACACAACTACTGTCCATGCCCATGTTTTTCATAATATGACTTACTGTATCTACCTGTGAAGGAGGTTTATCCGTTTCTTTCACAGCAGCCCAACCATTCTATTACTTAACTTGACAACAAGGAAACAATAATGTTTATATTCTACTGGATTTATTTAAATGAGCCTATAGTTTGCTGGATGTACAGTACAGACAAAATGAAAACAAGACTGGTGTTAACAGAGACACAGTGGCATTGGCAGCCCCTATATCGTATTGCAGGCAACAACAGTGAAATGGATCCCAACTAATTGGCCCTAATCATGCTAGTAATTGCACTTTAGCGCTTGTTTGATTAGATATATAAAACGCCTCCTTTGTAAACCCCAATAGGATGGCTTAATCACTTCCTTTCCAAACAAGCTGCAGTGTGTTTTCTCTGTCCTTTCAACTGCCACTGCATCTTGCTCACATTGCAATAGAGAAACCTATCAGATTATTGATCAACATCCACTGTAGAAACTCCACTCCACACATGACAGGATCATGTTCAAAGATCAGTCTCACACACCACAGTTCTGTATAGGGTAAAGTATGACCAACAGACAGCCAAAGAAATGTAAGTGTCTATAGACAGGTTAGCTGACAACGTCACGAAAACAATGCGCACCCTTCAATGAGGCAGATGGCAGTGTGTTGTTGTGATTCTGGATGGCCAGATAGCTAGCAACAATGACAAGAAGCCCACAGTATGGCATTAAGCGAAATAATCCTACATTAGATAGCCTTATCCTTGTCAAACCCCATTCAAAAGGGTCGGTCTCTAGACTTTATGATGTGCTACAGGCCCACATAGAGGTAACCACAGACACTATTAAAAGGGCTTGGGAGCAGGAACTTGGTTCAGATATCTCAGATGAGGACTGGGTAGAAGCTCTCAGGAATATAAACCACAGTTCAGTGAATGCCAGACACAACCTTTTTCAGTTTAAGGTGATACACAGGTTACATTACTCAAAGGTTCAACCACTGTGTGAGAGGTGGAAGCAGGATGAGGGGACTTTAACCCACTTATTTTGGACATGTCCTAAGTTACATGTTTACTGGGC